GACAAAGAAAACAAAAGGGTTATTTTTAACTAATTTAAATTCAGCCCTCAGCCCCAAATCCCAAAAGATTCATGGTAAAAGCATTCTTTTAAAGCTTTCATTAACTATATAGCTTCTCCCTGGGCTTTGTCATTGCCCTGGTATCTGGCTGTTCCAAATCAGTAAAGTCTTTCCAGGGTGCAAGCAAGGGACCTGGGCTATGTGTCCTATCTACTCTGTCAACATAGTTGCCCAGAGTCACAATTCTGTACAGCAGAATATGCCCAGTGACATTCATACCAGATGACAGCCATCCCCACGGTAGATTTTCCAACCCCAAATTGATTGTCCACTGATTGATAGCAGTCTGGGCTTGCAAGCTGCCGGAGTGGGATTGCCACTTCCATTTCCACTATCAAGCAGCTCCGATGGGTCTGAACAAGAGGGCTGGAGCTAGCTTTGCACTTGACTGGGGTGGTGGCCTTCCATGTCCAACATTTTTTCAGCCTGTCTACACCACAATACAGTCCCATCCTGCAGTGCTCATTTCTTAAACACAATAGCACCACTCCACCATGTGCAGCTACTCAGGAAGTGTCTATCTCACCCTGATAATTTTATGCACTCTCTATATCATCCACTTGTCCCATTCATTGCCGATTTCTGTCTCACCTTCATGCACACCATAATCACTGGGCACTAGTCACTGAAGTTCTGCAAATAAAGCAAAACCATGCAGTTTCTCTAAAAATGAACTCTATGGATCTATGCAACATCCACATTGAGGGAGTGAATGAAAACCAATTCAAGGGACTGATGATTTTAAAAAATAGCTGGAAAATTGGGGCGGGTAGGTGCAGAAAATGTTATGAGACTGGGTGAAGGTAATTGTGAGAATTTGACCCTGCTCCAGACATTGGCATGGGGACAGTGGAATGTCTACCTGTGCGGTGCTGGAGCTTCTGCTGAAACAATCACACATGGCAAAGACATGGGGGCACAAATAGCTAAGTGTAAATCTGATCCAGTGAGACAGTGAGATGTGGAGACTACTAGCATAGACTTAGCCTGTGAGTCAGACTAGGAAGTTTTTGATAATAGACTCTCCTTTTGTTTAACAGCTTCATATCTTATTAGCAATGCCTTCATTCTATGTGACATTTTCACAGAACAGATTTTCCCAGACTAATTTCAACTTCCCTGTGTGTGCATAGTTTGGCAAGACGAGATGGCTCCCATCACATTTGCATGCAAGACACTACCTGGCAAGTATGATGCATCAGTAGGTGTAACTGTTTATTACTAAGTCATGCTATTCCTGTTTTTTCTGATTCAGATCTTGAACCTGAAGCCCTTGGCAAATCCTGTTGCATTACCTTCCCCCTCAGAATCATCCAGTTACTAACAACAGAAGCAAAGAATGGCTTTAAATTTCTAATTATGGTAACATTAACACCAAAATTCACTTTCTACACAGAAATTCTCCATGAAAATCCAACATGTTGAATCAGACTGGAGTGTCCATCCAGCTTCTGTGCCCCTCCCACTCCACTGGATCCACAAACTTCAAGAACATCATCTTACTCAAATATTGAGGCTTCTACTCTAATCTTATCCTCCTTACCTGACTACTGGTTTTGATAAAGTTGACTGCTCTCATTATTGACCCCTTCAGCCTCTGTAGCACTGACTCTCACTACACAGTCTGCATTTATTCCTTTGTCATTACTTCTCCTTGTTTCTATAGATAACCATAGATTTCTGTCTTTGTCCCCCTTCTCTGCTCATCCCATTCTTTATCTCTGAGCTAGCAAACTCACATGGCTTCAACTACTGTCTGTACACATATTATATCTCAAAGAGAAGCAGCAAAAAGAGGGAATCTAGAGATGGGCAATAAAGATTATCTGGGACCTGAAAGGGCTTTCAGACAAGGAGAACTTGAAAAGAAAAGGGCTGGTTAGTGTAGAGAAGAGACAACTAAGAGGGAACATGAGGAAGGTATGGATAGATTAATGAATGGAATAGAGAAGGTATGTCAAACACTTCTATTGTCCTTTGCCATAATATAAGGAAAGTGGGTCTACCAATGAAGCTAAAAGGCAACACATTTAAAAAAGCTACTGGGAATTTCACTGCTTTTGTGTGTACCTTCCTCTGAACCACGTGGACAGAGAGGATGCCAAACCGGAGCAGGATGGCATATCTGCAGCACCTTTGTCACATCTAGAAACCTACTTGTCCTGCTCTCTGCCCAGCTCTTCAGTCCAATATAGCATTGATCTCTCCAACTTTTCTTATTGGATCACTGACAACTCGCTGACATTGTCGGGATACCTTTTTTTAAAATCAAAGCCTTTTATATTTCCTCAGTCTGTCATGATTAGTGAAATGCCCCTCTTTCTCATTGCCCACACTTACCACATGGAGGTTATCAGCCACTTCTCCCTCTCCTTTACCCTACACGTTCAAGCTTGGGACAGATAGTGCCACTTCTTCTTTTGTAGTGTAGTGCATCCTGCTCTGGTCATCTCTTGTCCTGATTACTGAAACCTCCTCTTCCTTGCAATTCCCAGTCTTTTGATACATCTTCCATGTCATCCATATCATTTCTTCCTTACCCACTGATTTGATGTTAGTCCCTCTACAGATCCCTCTACCATTTTCCCTATATCCACTACATCAATTTTTACATTTCCTGGTTTCATTGTTAGCATAATCTCCCATGAGCCTGTACCTCAGAACGTATGGTTTCTAGCTGCTTTGCTCCATCAGAGGTGTCAGCCTTGATGACTATTAATCTTCTCCCACACCAGCCTCTGTATGTTATTGATACAACTACCCCATATGGACTCTACAAGCCACCAGTCTCACCTTTCAGTTCCTTACTTTGCTGTAGACCTGGGTATATGGGTATATAGACAATTTATTGTGGATATATGGGTATATGGACAATTTATTGTGGGAGAAAAGGGGATGGGGTTTTACCGCACATTGGATGTCCCATGGGCCTTGGAATGCTCTTTACCCCTTTGATAAATGGAAATCAAACCAGGGCAACCTAACCCTTAATGAAAGAGGGGTAAGTTATTGTAGTTTAGTTTCCATTTATTAGGGGTGTCTACATGTGCTTTAATGCATGCCTAAACTTAATGCGTATTAGCCTAATGTGGATTAAGGTGATTTGTGCATGCTCTAAGGCTTATTAACATGGGTGTGCAGACCAATTTGGGATTAAAGTAAGTCCCAAGTCCATGGACACGCACCACATTAATGTGCATTAGTGTTCACTAATGCAACCAGTGGCAATGCAAAGGGGTGCACAGTGCACAGTGGTGCACGTGCAATCCCTAAGAGTGCTGGTGCACCCCCTGACACGCTGTGCTCTCTGCTTAGGTGACAGGCAGAGGGGGCAGGCAGGAGCGCTGGTGCCCTCCCTGTGAGCACTGGCCGGGGAGTGGGAGCGCCAGATGAAGCTCCGCAGCCACTTCTGGGAGCTCCACAGCTGCTTCCTGGTCAGCGTGATCGCCGCCCCACAACTCCTGGTTGATGAGATTGGCCATGGGGGGGATCCCCTTGGTTGCTGACTGGTCGCTGGGGGGAAGGGGAGGCATGTGCCTTCCCTGACTAAGGTGGCACCGGTTGCCAAAGAATGCAACTTAGCTATTCACATGCAAATTTGATACCTACTTTATGTAGGTATCAAATTAAGGCTTGACTAGTCTAAAATTGCCGTTTTAAAGGTGTATTAAGGGCATGTGCCCTTAATGTGTCTTAAATCGGGCTAATGCACATTAAATGTATGCATGTAGACATGTCCACTGTGGGGTAAAAGTATGCAGAGGGATTGTGGAGTATCCTCTTGTATCCATAGTATGTCCATACCTCCATCCTTGTGTGTTCAGTACAGAGATGCCCACTCCTGAAGTACCACGGCTTGAGTCAGGCTAGCTGGAGGAGGGGTGTCTATAGAATAGCACTTCAGTCACTGTATCCACTTGGGCACTGTACTGTCTTGGGCATGGGGCTAAGATTCCTTTGTGCTTCACAGCACGACAGTTGGTTGGATCTTTCTATGGTTTCCTTCCCAGTAAATTGTGTCTGCCCTTTCCAGGCACAGGGGAGAATTGTGGCAAGCCAGTGGATGTCTAGCAGGACCTGACTAGAGCTATGCTGCCTGCACCCATAGCCCAGTGGGGCATGTTGGCAGCTGATGGTTTAGTTTGGCAACCGTCAATCCTTCTGGATCATGCCATATGTGTGAGAGGCCACCCAGACCTTCGAAACATATGCCGAGGCAGGAGTATGGAGAAGTGGAGGCTGCCCAGACCTTCCATGCCCCCTTTAGATCATTAAGACAGAATCCAAAGGGCAGTCTGAGCCCAGACATTTGGTGTCTCCATGGCCAGCTGATAAATTCTGCTAAAGCCACCGACTTCTAGGGAGTAAAATCCAGGACACAGCCCCAGATGCTCCACAGACCTCCAGAACTGTCCTCTGAACTGTGGCCACCTCCCGTATCAGAGGTGAGATAGCCAAGTGCGCTTGGCATGGCGCTCATGCAAATCTGCTCTGCAGAGCTGGGTGGTATGAACGTGTTCAGGACTGTGCCTGGTGCCATGGGGACCTCTGGGAGGATGAAGCAGATGAGATGGTGGTTTTGTGGGGGTGGTAAAATCTTTCCCTAGAGGATGGGGTGTGGGGGCTCGGAGGCACAAAGGGCCCTTCTTCCACAACCAACTTCAAGTCCGGGACAAAAGACCTGGCCGGGGCCCTTGGGGGCAGGAGTCCCGCGAGTGGGCCTCAGGGCTCGGGGTCCCCCGCCCCGCCCCGCCCCGCCCCGCCCGGGTTAAGGACTCGTGCTGGGACCCGCGGACGCCAGCAGCAGGCGAGGCCTCCCTCGGAGCCCGGCTCGCCCTGCCCTGCCCTGCCCCTCCGCAGCCGGCTGG